CATCTTGACTGCTACATGGACGGAATATTTATATACATATATGCATGTATTCCAAAGTTTACAGTTCTAAAGAAGTTACCCTCAAATTTCACTTGAAATAGTACAACTCAAGTATCCAAAAAACAATTATAGGATAGCCAGTTTAAGAGGATTCATACTACATTTTTTTTAATTTATTTTTTTTACCCAGAGGTCACTTAAAGAGTTCTAACATAGCACACACATACAGTCCAGACAGAAATACAGCTCTCATTTCTGAAAGTAAGAACATTATTAGAAAGAAGAAATATAAAGGATATAGGAAAGAAAAGCTAGTCTCCATGGGATTAGAAGTTTGACAAGAGTCCCCCTAAACAAATAAAAGTAATTCTACACTCGGGAACTCAATAATGGTGTCACGAGGCTGATACAAATTTCTGGGTAACCTTTTTCACTTCCGACAGGCAATCTCGCATCTTTTGAAACTATCTGCAGTTTGTGACAATTTATTCTTCAGTCTTGATGTAAATCAAGTATAAATGGTTTCCCTCGCATCTGAAGGTCACGTGGTTTCCAAGCTCTAACCTTAATGACATCCTGGCAGAATGTGCAACAAGCAAAAGCATTACCTGTACTAAACAGAGAATACAACCAACTGTAGAAAGAAGTTCTTAGAACATCAAATTTCTCACTCTAAAATTATACAAGAACCTGTAATCATAGCTGATATTTAAACAAGTTAAAAAGCACAGTTTGATAGCATCATAATAAAGAAGTTGAATTCAGATAACGCAGAAGTCTGGCTTTTCTCCAACTGTCAACAGATGAAATTCCCCGTATTGGCAAGACACGTGACGTGGTGAGGGCCACTTACGCTGGATTTCGTTGAGCATCAGCTGCACATTTGTAGATTTTAACTTTGGGGAAAAAATAATGCTTTTAAAGTAACTATTCTGCACAACCCACTTGTATGACGGACGTAATTCCCCCTCCGCTGCCACTGACCTTCATTGGTTTTGTGACCACGTTTCTCTGAGACAGTCTCCTCCAGGTAGCTGTGCAATGACAGGGTGAACAGGCTGCTGTCCCTCCAACAGCACCCAGTTAGTACGGCTAAGTTAATCTGTATCTCCCTAGGATATTATTAGTTTTCATGCAGAGGATTTAATTAGTCCCCTGCTCTAAAAGCCAGCCCTGGGTGTCACTTGAAAGACGCATCTATTACACAATGGAATGACAGGAAGAATTATGAGTTCTCATCATGAAGCAAGTCTTGAGCAATTGAATTATTGAACACAGCCATCATTAGGTGCCCTTTCATCCTGTTCTTGCTGCTTCAAGAAAGAGCCCAAAGCGCCACCTTCTGCCGAATAGTTGGGACCACGAATAACAACTTCAGCAGCTGGTGAACTGCAGTGACAGCTATGCACACACCCAAACCCATCTGGCTGGGTACCAAACAAACGTGTTTTCTCACTAAACAGCTCAGTATGTCAAACCTGCCGGAGCTGCTGCTCTTCTAGAAGAGCTACCATATGAACAGCTAGAGCACAGCTGCCCAAGTGGCACACGTCAGGAACCTGACACAAAGGGTATTTTGCCTAGGTTTCAGCAAGCATCCAAATAAGCAGCACTTTGTGCGTTTTTGCAGAAGGTTCCATATTTGTTATTGAAATCTCATAGAGCACCTCACGCACATTGTCACAGCTTCCAGCCAGGAAAACAGCATCCAATACCCAGTGGGCCCAAAACTGAAGATAAACAGACTGATAAAATTACTTCACAGATGTCACACACACATACAAAAAATATTAAAAAAAGTAATTATCACACAAGTATCAAATACAAAATTTAGGAGTACAGAACAGCCCACTCTAACAGCTGATCCCCAGATATGGAGAATACAAAAGGGACTGTAAGGACAACAAAAATTTATCTTCAGAAAAAAAAATAAATTTTGAGTCTCTCTTCATCTGTGTTTTGGGGTGGGGCAAGGAGAGAGGGAATAAGAAATGAGTCAGGCATTTTGTGTTGACTAGACTCATCTTTGTAATAACAAGAATAACAAAGAAGTTTTTATTTACATCTTGGATATACAGACTGGCAGAGTAAGAGAAGTATTTTCTTTATTACAACCAAAATGGCAACATATTTGGCAAAAATTAAGAGCGGGAAAAAACCATGTAATATTAAAATCAGACTTCAAAGAATGGACTACTTTCCTCTGTCTATTTGAAAGACCAAGAAAGACCATAAGCAACCTATCATTTCCCACTTAAACAATAAACTGGGCTATTCCTCTTTCTGTCAGCCTTTGTAGAACAACCTGTACATTGGTGTACTGGCACTTTAGAGAAGCACCCCAGCAGGCTGAGTTCCTGGAAAGGGTTTATTTCCCCATAACGTTGCCTTTTAGACACTTCCTTGCCGACATGCAAGTGCTGGAGGTGACCTCACTACAGCCCCATTGTGTTGTGATCCCTTCCTGTCCTGTCATCCCATGGCCTTTTCTCAGTGATCCCATTGCATTACCCCACACGCCTTGCTCATCTTGACAACCTTGACTTCAGCAGGCTGCTCCAGGTTAAATGGTTCCAGATCAACATAGTCACAACCTAGAAATTGTCATGGTAATCACCAACAGAGGCCAGCGGCAGCCTTAGAATCTAAACTGGATTCAGGAATAGTGACATTCAGTGGCTCACTAAAATAATAAAATCTTTCATTATGATAATAACCAATGAACTATGGTGACATCATGCTAATCAATTACACCCCTTTCATTATCAGTGAACTTGCAGCCAATTCAAACACTAGGTCCTCTGATTCAAGTCACTTCCCTAATAAAAGCAGTGATTATGAAGGACACTTTCATGGTACAGAAAGTGTACATGCCCTTACCGTTAGAAAAAGATAAACAAAAGTGTAACCTGCAAATGACATGCAAAATAAATTTCCACAGTATTCTTTCTTAATTTCATTTTTAAAAGAGAGAGTGTGAAAGCTGACATTCTGATACTGGAATATCACAAAGGTTTATTATTACCTTTCTGGAAAAGCTTAAAAAGTGGAGCAATTTGGGGTTTTTTTTTGTGGATCCCAAAACAAACACTTTAATTTCTGTACTGTTTGAACCAAACACCATAAAAAAAGATACAGAATTAAATTACGTTATAGTGTAATTCCAGTGAAGTTCCCAGAGCATCACAGGAAAACTGCAACAGGAAAATAAACAGAGGATGAAACAATGAAAATACTGGGTTAAAGGTACAGGCTTGAGAGACCAGTATTAGGACTGATACTACTTAATGTTTTTAAATGATTTTTAGCACAAGAAGTAGCAGCACGCGAGTGAAAATTTTCTAGTGATAGAAAGTTAGGAGGTGTTATCAATACAAAGACAAATGGAAACACACCATTAAGAAACAACCAGGTAGCCTTGAAGACTAGAACCTGAGGGCAAGGCAGCACACAAACACCACACTACTTAACAAATACTTCTGCTATCGGTTAGGAACTAATCAACTACAAATGAGAAAGACGTGTTTCTTGATGTCAGAATGATTATGTTGCTGCAGTGTTACTGGACTTGTGTCCCCAGCTTTCACCCAACAGCAGGCACTGCCAGTCTAAGACTCAAACCAAATAAATTCCACTTACATAAAGGAGAGAGAAAATTCAAAATAAATTAAGTTAGCAGTGAGTAAGATTTTTCGGTTGCTTCTAAATAGGGGAAGGCCCTCCAAAAAGTCTTATGGTACTAACCCTTTCTCAGACTTCTCTGAAAGGCCTTTCTTCTACATTTCTCTAGTCCTCGTTTCTCCTCACTCTGTAGCCTCAAAACCCACTAGCTTCTGCACCTCAGTGTAGACATCTGTTAAAAAAAAAGAGAATTATCTGCCTTAGTGGAGAGGCACAAAGCCCAAACAGTTAATAACGTTCAGAAACGTGTAAAAAGCAGGTGCAAACTATTAAAGAATAAAAAAATGGCAAAACTCAGAAAAAGGGGAGGGAAGGACGGCACCGAGATGGACAGCCCCACACCTCCAGAAAGCAGAGGAGCACTTGGAACCCTCATATTTAGTCTTCCACAGAGCACCTCGTTCTGCTGCAGCTCCCCCACCCGCTCCCGAAGGAGGCGCTGCGCAGCGCGGCCCTGGCGCCCAGGCTGAGCGTGGGGGGGCGGGGAGCGCCAGCAGCGGCCGCTCCGCGGGCAGGGCC